TTTACGGGGAAAGCGTTATTCCATTCAACTAGCAACTTATGGTCAAATAGTACAAAAATTAACTAAATAGAATTTTAGTGTGTGTTTGTAAAAAAAATTACTCAAATCAAGTTAATTCGTACTCAAAATCTAACTCCAATTTAACTCAACCTCACTATCCTCAATATTATAAATATAATTAAATAATAACAACCAATCATTTTCATATCAACTTTAATTCACTACTCGTTCACTCACATAATTTTAACTGACCACCATTTCATATTATCTCTCTCCTACTTGTACATCAAATCAACTTTAACTATTTTGTTTTAAATAGGATAAATAATAATTTGCAACATGTACTATACACGAATTTGGGGTATGCAACCTAAAGAATTTTTTGTACTAAATTGCAACCTTTAATACACGATTTGTCTACATCGCAACCTCCGGCCATCGGAGGTCCATTTTTCACCGGAAAAGCAGCATGTGACACACACGTACTAAATTTGAGGGTAAAAATGTCATTTCATCTCTCATCATCCTTCCTCATCCTACCTCTCACACACACTCCCACATAGTAAAATTCTAGAGCACCATAGGGAACCGCCATTCGCCGCAGCACCTGGAAAAGGATCCCTACTTTGTCGCCGGCGGAGTCTCACGCAGTCAAATTCGTCTTCAATATAGACGGATTTGTCGAAATTATTGCCTCAGATCTGAAAAGGAAGAGCAATTGAAATTTTAAGATATGTGTTTGAAATTTCTCTTTGCTCTGTTCATCTTCTTCCTCGCAACCCCCATCTACGGTGACGCTTTTGATCTCGCAGGACGGAAATGAAGAGGTCGTGCTCGTCGTTTTTCACGACAATGGCAACAATGCCAACCAGCTCGATCAAAACCCGAGAGTAATTACTAATTCGAGAACGATTTTCAATTTTTTGGAATTAAAAAAAAGAAAAAAAGAAAAAGAAAGGGATATATTAATTTACTAATCACTCGAATTTGTAGTCGTTTTTCTTGGCCGGAAATCCGACAAGAGGACAACACCAAGAACAGTACAAGCAGAGAGGACAAGGCCGGCCACATCAGCAGCTGAGAAATGTTTTCAGGGGTTTCGATACAGAGACTATTGCGGAGGTTTTCAAGGTGGACGAGGAGACTGCAAGGAAGCTTCAGGGGCAAAACGAGGAGAGGAGCCATATTGTGACGGTTGATGAGGGACTTCAGGTGATTAGGCCGCCGTCGGAGTACAGCCGCCGTGAAAGGGAGGAGGAGGAGAGGTAATATGGCGGCAGGCCGGTCAATGGCCTGGAGAGAGTGAGAGAGAGAGGATGAAAGAGGAAGGATGAAGAGAGATGAAATGACATTCTTGCCCTCAAATTTGGTACGTGTGTGTCGCACGCTTGCTTTTCCGGTGAAAAATAGACCTCCGATGGCAGGAGGTTGCGATATAGACAAACCGTGTATTAAAGGTTGCAATTTAGTACAAAAAATTCTTTAGGTTGCAAACTTCAAATTCGCGTATAGTATTATTTACCCTTATTTTAATATACTCTCAAAATCTCACTAACAACTAACTATAATACTTTTTCTAAATTAACCATAGTTAACCAAAAAAAAACTCACTTTGAGTTAATTTGATTGAATTTATCCTTTTACAAACACACCCTTACTTTCCTTCATTAATCTCTTTCAGACAAGACGCTTATAAAGTTCTACAAGAAGCCCCTTATCCCTTATTTATGCTTGCAGTGCAATCAAGTTTTAAACGTCCAACGTTCAGGACACCTTGTTCTTAACATCAACTTCACAACACAAATTTAAATGTACAAATAAAATGTCAATAAACTTAAATCGAGATGCTATTCGGCACACCTTTTCCCGTTACACCAGGTTCCGAAAACGGCTTCAGAAGCTCATACGGCACCACACCAGCTCCGGCCCGATTCTTCAGGCCCGTATCCGCATTTCTACCGTCAATAATACCCTCAATCTCCTTCAGCCGCCCATTAAACCGTTCAAAAGCAGCAGCTATCACTTTATCCTCAGCCCAAAACGGCTCGATTTTCTCACCGATATACTCCTCATCAGGCGAATGATTAGACAAAACGTCCAAAACAGCCATCACGATTGTCGCCTGAAGTTGCGAAGGAAAGCACCTCAACAGAAACTCCTCGGGCCTCTCTAGAAACTTCTTCTTTTCTTCCTCTCTCGGGTCTTCAGTGGGCATCTGGATTCGGGCTATAGTGGGCCTGTTAGGAAAGTAGCCCCCATAATCAAATTGGCCGAAGTTGACAGCTGCATGGTGGGCTGAGACTACCCATATGATGGTCGTGAGGATCAAAATCAGGTCCTGAGGAGTTTTAAGCTCGGACCACCAGAGTTCGTCTTTTTTGTCCGCGTGGCCTTTCGTTCGAATCTCTGTCCACCATGATTGAAGTTCGTTGTCTGATAGGACGAGGTTTGGTTCTGGATAATAGTGTGTGACATAATCCGTGACCCACTGTTTGATGACGTCCCATAAAAGCAGACCGTCATTTGCGTAAGGGTAATCTTCGATTGTTAGCTTCAGGCCGTGAGGTGCAGTTGGATCCTCTACAGCCATTCCCCTGGAGTTGCATTGTAATCGAAATAGAATAATTTATAGTTGGGAAATCAAATGTTATCTTTCAGGACAAGAGAATGGCATTTGACTTGTGCTTTTCTTTTTTTCCCCCTAAAGTCGCAACTTCAAAGAGGGATACTAGTAAGGTAGATACAAATCTCAGGGATGTGTTGTAAGCACATTAGATTTGCATTTCTAAATTGTAACTAGGCAAACAGTAGAGTCAGACTGTCTGAAGAAACTAAGCCCAAGTTTAGGCTTTCAGTTATTATTTTTTTCTTTTTATTTTATTTTAAATTTATTTTTAGGTGACTGTCCGAACATGAAGACAGGACTTGCCTCAGGCTTCTAAATAGTTCACCTGTTGATTAAATCTGCCGGTAGAGCCTGTAAGTCAAACTGCCATAGCTTGTCATAGGCAACAGAGCACAACTCCATTGAGTACTTTCCCGGGGCGTATGATGACTCGATGATACCATTGGCATTGATAAGGGACTTACGAGCCAGAGCATTAATCTCCATTGTGTAACGTAAATGAGGGTGCAATAATCTGTATATAGGATGCATTGAACTCAGTTGCCTATTTGTCGCGATTATGTAAGGCTCTGCGCAACAATGAGTTAATAGCCTGCAAAACACAAAAGAGGTCAAGATCGTCTGAAAAAAACATAATTACGTGTATTTCCACAAAGCTTCTGTTCATGTGTTTCAATTATTACATGGAACAAATCTCAGTAACAATCAGATGGAAATAATCATTAATCTGCAGGAAATGTTAAAGAGAATACTAATGCAAGTGATTCAACCACTTTTTTTAGGCTTAGGGAGTGATTGTAATCACACACAAATAATAAAGAACCAAAATTAAAATGATTCTACGGTTTTCAGATAGAGAAAAATTACATTATAGTTATTGCAAATGTCAACTTCACCTTCTAATCTTGCTAACCAATGGGAAGGGTGCGCCTTTTTATAATATTAATTATGAGCTCAATTTTAATTGTACTCACAAATGATAGAATATAACTCTTTTTAAGCTTTCTTTCAATCAATTTTCATTTTTCTAATTCTATTAACAAACACTGCCAATCTATTATTCTCAATGATTTTTGCACCATAACCACATAATCACTTCTACGAAAACCACAAACTAACTCACCTATACTATATTTAACCAACCCTTCAGATGTGAAACAATCTTTTTTTTTTTTGCGTAAATGTTTCAAAGCAAAAAAATAAAAAATAAAAAAACAAAAAAACCTCACCAGTGACTGACTAATTCATGATAACCAGAGTCGTGCGCGAGGATGTGAGCCTTAGCCAGCCTCCACAACCAGATGTCAGTTGGGTTCCAACATGGCTGGTAAACCTCCTTCCACTGGGGCTTCCCATCAACAGGTGGTCTCGTTAGCTCGATGGCCAAGGGCCTCAATGTGCCCTCGGGCATCAAGAAAAATAGAGTCCGCGACCCATACAAGGTAGTCCCCTTCAGCTCCCTTACCTTGTTCACAAAAGGCAAGAAAACGTCGTGGTAATCTAAAATGAACAGCTTCTTTTGCTTCAATGCCTACGAAATTTTCCAAGAAAAAGAAAAGGTTTAGATCAAGAAAATGCTCATGTAATCATGCCTAGCTTCTCATTGATTGGTCGGATTTTACCTCATCCACAGTCATGTAGCCTCCGATTTCTTTCTCTACCAAGTCCGTTGTGATTGCTGACTCAGCAGGCCCGTAAATCTCAGTGTCGAGACCACTTTTGAGTGGCCATTCCTGTAAGATTGACAAATTTAGCATTAGGCATCTGTTGTATGCCTTTTTTCTTAAAATCTAAGGAGGGTGTATTCAATTGGGATTTCAAGTGACATTTTGAGACTTTTTAAGATTTGAGATATGTTAAGATTTCCAGATTTTGGAGAAATTCCGTGAATATGGATATGAGCCAAAATTACCTCAGTATTGCCAACTTAGAGTAATAACTCAATAATATTCCAAAAATAAAATTCCCCTATAGGCATAACAGGCATTCCTTAACATTTCCATTTTCATAATAGATAAATAAATATTCTCCTCCTGAATCAAAACAAATATCAAATATGAAGGAGTTACTTTTATTTGAAGGGGAGTTTATGTATTTAGAAACACTGAGGGAACAACTTTGCAATCAAACCTACACAGTAAGCATGGAATTCTGTGTTGAAACTAAATCTACTGAAGAAGAAGAAACCCAAAATGAACATTGACATGAACACATTAAGACTCTTAATTTGGAACATACACGATAATTGGACTAAAAGAGTAATAGCCATACCGTAACCAACTTGATGCACAATGGATTAACACCAGCTAGAGTTTGTCTAGCGAATTCAGCATCACAAAACCACGCGAACTTATCTCCTTCAAAAATAACAAAATGCGGCTCAAAACGAAGCACCACATGCCCCCACGTGACATCCAGAAAACTAAATATCAATCAAAATAATAATAATAATAATAATAATAATAATAATGATAATAATAATAATAATAATAATAATAATAATAATAATAATAATGATGGAAAGGACAAAAGAGGTAGAGTTCATGGATTTACTGTCGATCAACTGAGGCGTCTCGAATTGCAGAACACTGTTTTTCAAGTCATTCATATACCTGACGAGCCTGGGTATAATATTCCCTAGAAGCCCTGAAGCAGGAATATCGGGAAGCAAAAAACCTTCATTGAATAAACTATCAATGGCGGTGAAGTGTGGGAAGCCAAGGTTTTTGTCAATGATGGAAGTCTCCAATGATGGGATAACCGCATGGAGCACCGAGGATAGGGTATTGGCCGAGAATTTCGCCTGCTTTACTTCTGAAAATGCTTCATCTCTAGGCACGTACACATTGGAGCTCCTTGACTCGGATAGTGGATCTGAAATTTAAGATTAAACTAGACCTCAGTAAACATTAATTTAAGAAAGTTACTTTATTTGCTTTGAATAAGCTTCTTGTCCTTGAATTTGATTCGCTACGACATCTTCAAGAAAACACTATTCGTTTGGCCTTGTTAATTCTCTGACAGACGTTCGTGCGATTATCTAAAAATTAAAAATCTTTATTTCACACTTCCTATGTGACTTCACAGAGTACCCACTCACATTTTTATATCTTCCATTCATATGACCATATCTTATAACACACTCAGAGTTTTGTCATTTTTCCATCCCCATTATCTAGCCAGTACAAAATAACAGAAAAGGGGCATTCTACTAAACATGCATCAAAAACCAACTTCACTTCTACGAAAAAATTGGAGACAAAAGTTCAACACGTGATAAAATCATGCCAAGAATAACAGGGGTTAGCTCAGCATTGTGACAAACAGTTGCTGCGCGTGCCTACAAATTTCAAATATATTCTAACATACATGCTTCAGCCTGTGTGTGCCTGTGTATATATATCACCTTTATCTGTTCTTGGGCGGCCAGTTCTGCAGCGGCGAGGGTAAGGACGGTCGGGGCCGCCGAGGACGGGGCGAGCCAGGTCATCGCCGGAGTCTGGATCGCCGAGATCGTTGTAGACATCGTAGTCGTAGATCCTGTCGGACTTCTTGCGCTTTCCTTGGCCGTCGCCTCTTAGGAGGACGAGCTCTTTCTCTCTGTATCTTCTCAGCCCACTCGGAGTTTGGGACGGCAGGTAAGACTGTAGCCAATCATACATTCACATGTTTTTTATTTTATTATTTTTATTTATTATTTAATTCAAAGCAATTCACTTGTATAATTCGCGTTTTTCTAAAAGTGTTATTGTCGTCCAAGCTCGACTTCACCACCCGACATGACTCGACTTGGCTCGTATAATAAAAAAAAAATAGAAGCTCGACTCATTTAAGTTTATGAAAGTTCGACTTGATACAACTCAAATTATAAAAGATTTTTTCGTGATCATAATTTGTATATTATCGTCAGTTGTTCATTTGAATCTATATTAAAAAAAATAAACGAATTGCTCGCTAATGAGCTCATTAAATAAAACTTATTTATTTATTGTTCGGGTTCAACTTACTTAAATAAACAAAAGAATCGAAGTCAGAGGTTTTTCACGAGTTCAATCGAGCTATATACGCGAACAGCTAATAAGATTAATCCTAAGTTGACCATATCCCAAAATGTGGTGCATGGACCTGCATCGATGGTGTATGACTGACATTTTTGTATCATCTATATTCAATTGACATATTATCCATGTCACATATCCAAAAAAATAAACTAAATTTTAGGAAGCATAGAGCTAATTGGTGTTAGAAAAAGCTAATATATTGTTAAGTAATTAAATTTTTTAAATAAAGATGTATACTTTCAAATTAAAATATCATCTATAAAAAATAACATAAACAAAGTATAATATGTTATAACATAAGTAATTATGAATAATAATAACAATGTAGTAGAGAAATGTGATGCTGACCGTATTGATGAAAAACACTCTCTTTTCGAGGTTTTTATCTTTAGGCTGAACCCATGAATTGCAGGTTACGTGGACTGGGCCACCAGACAAATCTTGCAATATTAAGATGTCTTTTACAAATATTTCATTTCGCTGCTCATTTTCTATGATAACAGCACCGATTTCTCCAAAATCCTCAGGAATTTCGAACGTGGATTCATAGTAAGTCTCATTTTCATCGTTCCCAATCTTATATGCATGCGAACTGATGGTCAACTTCTCTTCTCCAG